TTAAATGTATCTTTGCAAGCTGTTGACAGAAATAACACTTAATACAAGTCTGACTTTAGTACAGATTTAAATTGCTCAAATATTTCTGTTTCTGTTTCAGGGAACAAATGAAGTTTTGAGGATGTATATTGCTTTGACAGGCATGCAATATGCAGGCAAAATCTTAACTGAAAAAATAAAGTATGTAATTCTTTTAAATAATCATATTAACTGAATTAATACTGGATGTAGATTGAAAATTGATCAGTAGGAACAGCACTAAAGGAAAATAATGCTTCCAACTTTTTTTTCTTGACGATATACAGCTTGCATTAATAGATTGTTTTAATAATGGTCCATTTGTATTATTCTGGAAGGAAAGTTTTAAAGTAAGTTTTACTAGGTCAGACGATGTTACCTAGTTTGGGTAATGAAATGTCTGCAACAGCCAAGTTCAGAGAGCACCAAGGACCCCCCTTTCAACCCTGTGCTACAAATATTCTCCCTTAAAGTTAAGCTTATTGTAACTTGATAAAAACTACAAAATATGTTTGTTATGTTGGTCATTTAACTAATGATGCTATGAATTGGTATCAATTCAGTAGGAAGGGTATGTAATCAAGGAAACTCGAAGTAGCTTATCTGATAATAAGGATTTTGCAGATGAGAACTCGCTGTTTCTGCTGATACCTCAGTAGCTATGATATGTCAGAATTTTTACCTATACAGGCAGTCGTTGACTTATGACAGTTGAACCCAAAATTTTCATTGTTAAATGAGTTTTGCCCCATTTTATAACCTTTTCTGCCACAGTTGTGAAGTGAATCTGGCTTCTCTGTTGACTTTGCTTGCCAAAAGGTTACAAAATGTGATCACATGACTCCATCATAAATACATATAGCTGCCAGGAGTCTAAATTTTGATCACACGACCATAGCATATGCAACGGTTGTAAGTGTGGGAAAACGGTCATAAATCACTTTTTTCAGAGCCGCTGTAACTTCAAACAAGCAAATGGTTGGCAGTCAAGGACTACCTGTATCATGTTTGAAAATATTGCAAGGATTAAGAAATGAAGGCCATGATCTTTCTAATCCAGACCAGGATATAAGATGAGGCCAACATAGCTGTGGCTTATATAGTAGTAGTAGTAGTAGTAGTGGTGGTGGTGGTGGTGGTGGTGGTGGTGGTGGTGGTGGTGGTGGTGTTGGAAGGGATCTTGGAGGTCTTCTAGTCCAACCCCCTGCTCAGGCAGGAAACCCTATACCATTTTGGACAAATGGCTGTCCAGTCTCTTCTTAAAATCTTCCAGTGTTGGAGCATTCACCGCTTCTGGAGGCAGGTTGTTCCACTGGTTAATTGTTCTAACTGTCAGGAAGTTTCTCCTTAGTTCTAGGTTGCTTCTCTCTTTGGTTAGCTTCCACCCGTTGCTCCTTGTCCTGCCTTCAGGCGCTTTGGGGAATAGCTTGACTCCCTCTTCTTTGTGGCAGCCCCTGAGATATTGGAACACTGCTATCATGTCCCCCCTCGTCCTTCTCTTCATTAGACTAGACATACCCAAATATTGTGAATTTGTTGTAGATTACCTCATTTATTGTACTGTTACTCCATTTCTGTTTGTTTTGTTCATAGAGTTTTACTTATATTGTTTTCTTGCTGATTATTGTAAGCCACCCAGAATAATGTACTGTGTGTAAGATGGGCAGCCAAATCAATTTGGTGGGTAGTTGGTAGGTTAAAAGTAAATCCAGGCATATACAAAGCACATTTCATAGACAACTGATACTTGACAGTGGCCATCAAAGCAGCCAAGACAGTTTGATTACTCTTAATTCATTGGGGCGCCTTAGGTTTGGCTGAAGTTTAAGATGCATTTTCACCTCATGCCACTGAATACCCGAATACCCCCCAAAAGCAGGAGTCTCATATATTTTTTTCCAGAGCAGAGTTCTTGTCACATCGTACTTAAGGCTGCTCCTGTGCTGACAAGTGTGGCTCCCTGCCCTCCATCTCCCCTCATGAACCAAAGCTGCAGTAATTTGGAGGAATGAAAAGTAGTGGGAAACAAATATTGAATAAACTGAGTACTTAGGTGAAGAAGAAAAAAAGGACAATTATGCACAGTATTACATGGGTACGCCATTTAATACAATTATTCTCCTGCAGAGAATTCAAGAAAAGAAACGTAAAAGTGATATGGAATCTACTTGTGGGCAGTCTGTTTGGCAGCAAGCCTCCAAGCATAGAAGTAATGGGGCATGGAGGAGAAGTTCATCCCAGTCTCAAAGTAAGTGTTCCGTGTAGAAAAATGATACACCTATTACAGTCCTCCAGGCTTTTTAGTGCAATACCAAATTCTTCCATTTATTAGCTAGGAAACAAAATACGGTTGATTTTACATAGTTTAGGCCAGTATTTTCCAACCTTGGCAATTTTAATAGGTATGGATCTCTATTTTCAAAATTCTCTGGCTGCAGAAAATGCTATTAGAATTGAAGTTCACACATCTTAAAAAAGTTGCTAAGATTGAAAAGCGCATTTTGATCATTTAGTCCTTTACTGGTAAAATTGCCCCCTTCTGCGCAGTCTAGTTGCTGTAGTTCCTTCTTAAAGGGGGAATAGCCCATTTGGCTATGAAGGGACTTTTTTTTTTTTTACAAATGATCCTTTGTAGCTTCTGGTGGTGGGTGGGTTTGTTTTTTGTTTTTTTTTAGGGGGATAAAAATAAAATAAACTAGGAAACATAATAGTAGTTGTGATTATTCTTGTGATTTTGAGCCTGGCTACATGGAGTCACGTTACCATTAAATGCAAGTACTTTGGGGTTAGTTCAACCAGGATCTTAATCTGGAAATAGCCAACTGTTGGATTTGCATGGTACATTTGATATTTCATTGATTCGGTTAAGTACATCCTGCAAATTGGCTGCCAATAGCTTTCCTGCGTCTTGGAAAACTTGCCTGGAGAACTTGGGACTGTCCACATAAAAAGCATGTAATCTTTTATACGGCCTCTTTGTCTAACTATTTTTACTGAATTGACTTGCTGATTTCCAGCTTCAATGTATTTTTTCCCACGATAATTTGTGTATGCTTAATTCTTGCTGCTGTCAATGAAAACTTTTTTCAAATGATTAATATTTTATCCTGCTATTTACATTTTAGAAAAGGAATGATATAAATAAGATAAAATTAATTTGGTGTTTACATTGGAGTTTTTGCGTAAGCTTAGAAACTCATTACTTCACTGAGAAATTGTTAAATTTATGCAATTATTTGTATTTACCAAATCCTGTATCAGTTAATATAAATACAAACCAAACTGCGGTTGGATTGCTTTACTAAACTACCTTATAATGCTTCAGTCATATGTCACATTCCTTGTTCTTGGTATCAGTATCATATTTATGCCTAATAGCGAAGCCATGGAATTTGATGTGTGAAAAGAGCTAAATGACCCTTTTATGGAATAAGGAGTATTTATTTGAAATGTGTATTTCAATTGGCTGCCCGTGTAAAGCTGATAAAAGTTACTGGCTAAGCAAGGTCATTTTTACTGATCTCCATGAGTTCTTCAGCCTGCATGCAATTAAGAAAGCAAATATATTTTCTGGGTTGGTAATAGAATGGAAAGAACTATGAAAAAAAAACGTTTGAAACTTAAAAGATAATCTCATTGCAAAAACTATGTCAAAGCATTAACTCTGCTTTGGTTTCTTTAACACATTTAAAAACATATGTTCTTCCTTCTGACCACCTACTCTCTCTTTTTAATAAAAAGTCTGCTTGTATTAAAATCAACAAACCAACAAAAGATCAATTATTTTCTTGACATATTGATTTTGAATAGCTATCTACATCGTGTGCATAATATGAGCCATTAAACTCAAGACCAAAAAAAATTACCCAGTCATGTACCTTATGACCATCTCTCAAGTTGAGATGAAAATAGTGTCTAATTTTTTTTTTCTTTGCAGGAAAGTGTTAAGAAACTTGAACAAAACATCTTTGAGTTTGGCAAGATAGTTGAAAGTTTACTAATAAGGTTTGGCAAGGTAAACATGGTTTGACCAGAATAATAAATCAGAGGTTTTTTTATTTGTCTTCTCACCTTTTTGTTGTTATATCCTAATCTAGGGAAATTAAATGTCTGAAGTTTCCTTCCACTAAAACACTACCTTACATAAATCTGATTGTTTTCCATAATCTGACAATTTTGAAATTAATATAGCCTACAAGATGCATATCAGTATAGCAATGCAATGATTACTATATTTGTTTAAAATCATTACAGTTCATTATGGCTAGTGATTATTACTCTTTTCTTTAATACTAGACTATTGTGGATGAGCAGATGGTACTTAAAAAAGTGGCAAACATTGTTATTAATTTATATGCAATGACTGCAGTCATATCCAGGGCTAGCCGATCTATCTGCATTGGTTTGAATAATCATGATCATGAGGTGAGTTTGTTTTATGTCTTAAAGATATGATGAAATTAAATGACAATATAATAAAGCAGACAGAAGGGGGAAATTCAGATTATTTTTACTTTAACTGAAAACAAGGTTTATGTTGATTTCCAGTTGTAGTATTATTTTAAAAATAATAAAAAATAATTTTCTTACGGTTATCAGCTAAATGGAGCCCCATGTACAAAGTTTGCATATAGATATTGGAGATGAACATGCCTAGCATGTTATTTTTGGTTATCCTGCGTCCACTAGCAGATGAGCTACAGTAGGCTTTTTAACAATGAATTAGCAAATTTATTCTTCTTCCGCTAGAAGTATGTCTTAAAGCAGAGGTCCCCAACCTTTTGGGCACCAGGGATCAGTTACATGGAGAGAGGTTTTTCTGCGGACCGGAGGGGGTGTGGTTTTGTGTGCTGCCTGCATCCTGTGGATGGGGCTTTCCTTGTTTATGTGGCCTGGTTGCTGACATGCCACGGGCCGGTACTAGTCCACGGACTGGGGGTTGGGGACCCCTTGTCTTAAAGGACAAAGCCAATGTTTCAAGCTGATTGTCAGATTACAAAACCAAACATTAAACAAACTGTAAAAATTAAAGGATTTTTTTCAGAAGGTTTGAATTTATTATTAGATTCTGATTATTGTACCGGCAACTAATAAAAAAACTCTTCTATTCATCTTTCAAATTTCAGTCATGGGGTTATTCAGCTGTGAGGCAACAGGCACTATGGAGGGGGAGGAGGGAGAGAGAAAGAGAAAGCAAGTCAGTTTCTATTTGCTAAACAGATATATAGTGTACCTAGAGTTCGATAAGCCAATTTTGCGACCAAACCACATATATCAGGATAACTGCATTAAAATTCTTGAAGTACACTTAGGAACAGAATCACTTCAAACCACTAATAACTTAACTGATTTCTAGGTGCTGCTTGCAAATATTTTCTGCACTGAAGCTTGTTTTGAGAATAATTATACAATAGTATCATTACAAAAAGGTAAGTGTTGCAATTAACTTCAGTATTGCTGCTTCAGCTGTAACAAAGTATCTTTAAAAATCCTTCAAGTAAAAGTTTATTCCTGGTGATTTCATGGATATGGATGTGACATTTTGTTGCCATTGCTGGGAAGATGGCTTGTCATTGTTTTTCCAGTTTTTTTTGGGGGGGGGTGGACTTTTGGATCTGGCTTATTGATCTGATACCCTCTCAAAATCTTCTATCCAATTATTAACCAGATTTGACCTTGGTCCACTTCTGAGCCTAGATTAGCCAGGTACTGACAAGATCTGACAAGATTATGTGATTTTAGGTTTTGAGACCATCAGGATTTGGGAACTTGCTGTCTTTGGTTCTGGGTGGATGGCACTGCCCCACATAGACCCTGGGCACAATCCGGGGATCCTTCTGGACTCACAACCCCTGCTCAATAAGAAGCTAGCAGTCCTGGCTAGGAGACCCCTTGCGTAACTTCAGGTTATGTACCAGTTGAACCCGTTCCTTTAGAACGTGGGTCAAAGCAGGCTTTTCATTTTTCCCAACAATACGTTCTTTCCCTTAATTAAGAATATGCACTTGTTGCTAGCTGCTTAGCAGCTTGTATATACTGTCTTGTTTCTCATTTAGGTGTTGTATTTAAAGGAACAATTCCTTCTGTTTCCATTATCTCTAGATTCTCCTGAAAACCTGGATGACAGCATTAAAAAAGTGGCAAATCAGGTTCTGGAAAAAAGAAGTTATATTTGTTCACACCCGCTAAACAGAACTTTCTGAAAGCTGAAAAATATTACTGGAGCCAGAGAACACAGTAACTGAATGTATTCAGATTGGATCCTCAGGTATATTCTTAGATCTGAGGCAAATTACTTGACTAATAACATATACGGTTTCATATTCTACAGTGCAATTTTATAAAATACAATAAAGTAATAACATACATACGCCTGCTTCCAGTTGATGATTTACTATCATCTATCTATCTATCCATTCCTTCCTCCCTCCTTCTCCAGCACTGAGATGGAGACTCCACCATTGGGTAGTAGACTGTATTCCTGCCCAATCAGATCAAGTCAGCCAAAGTTGCCACGCCCGTCCTGGATCGTGATCTCCAGTCTTTGACTTGATCTTGCCCAGGACAGACGTTGCAAGTTTGGCTCTAGGCAGGTACAGTCATTGGTGGATCTCCATTCCCCTCCCAATTTAAAATCTTAAAATTTTCACCTGTGCTTGCACCTAATTCGGTTTTTTTCTCTATTTCCCCTCAACAATCCCTGTGGGTGTTCACAAGGAGACTAACGGCTGTTAGTCTCTCAGCTCATTTCTCAAATTGGGTTGGGCCTGCAGGGAATCGAACGGGACTGCTTCTTCCCAGGAAGGAGGCCAACGGCTGTTGGTCTCAGATCACCTCAAGCCCACTGGAGCTTGCGGCTGCGGCTCCGTGGGTTGATTAAACGGGAAGGGGCGAGCCCGGGAGGCGATTCGGCCTCTCTCCGTTAGGAAGACATCGGCTGGTGTCTTTCTCTGAGTCTAACCTTCTCGGAGTCCGCGGCTGCGGCTCCATTAATTCGGGCGCGTTTCGCGCCGAGCAAAAGGGGGGGGGAGATCCCTGGATTAGCTTCGGCGCCGTTCTTTCCTTCACGGGGCTGCGGCTGCAGTCCCTTTGGAGAGATCGTCGGGTGTATTTCAAATTTGTTATTTCGATCGCGGAGGTGTGTGCGCGCGCGCGCTTGGCCTCCTTTTTTCGATCGGCGACTTCAACGGCCCTAGGGGACTGAATAAAGTTATTTTCCCCCGATTCCTCCGTTCGTTGCTGATCGGCGTGAGAGGCTTCTCAGTGTGGGGGGGGGAGTGAAAACGGTTCCCCGGCCCCGGCCTGCGTCTGCGACGCCATTTTGAGCCTCGTGGGCCTTGCATAGGCCGCGGCAGCCATTTTGAGACCTCAATTCTTTCAAAATAATTTTGAAATTGCCTATTCAGTGTGAAGAAGTGATCTAAATTGAGAACTGACACAGTTTTCCCGATTGACACACGAGTTCTCCCCTTCTACAAGGGTGGTCATTCTGGGTGATCATATTCCTGTAGGGAGGTAGGCCGCCATCTTAGTGAGGCCGCCATTTTGTGTTACTCATTTCTGCATTTTGAGGCAGTTCCCTTCCTTAGTCTTTGGAAATTTGGTGTCTCCTGGTCCTCATTTGGCATTGATTAATTGGCACGGATTGATTGGCACTGTACTGGGATTCCAGACTCCCCATAAGCGTGTCTGTTCTTATCCACAGTATTTTCAGTACGAATTCCAGGCTCCCCTTATAGAGTGTCTGTCCTTATTCGTACTTAGTTTCTCCCTTGGATTCCAGGTGCCCCCAGCAGCGTACCTGTCCTTATCCAACCGGGTTTATACCTGGGTTCCAGGCGTCCCTGCAGTCCGTCTGTCCTTACCCAGTGTTTGGCATTTTCCTGACAACGGAAGCCCCCTATTATGTTTCAAGGTTGTAGGAAAATGGAGGAAACTTCTTTTTCCTCAATGAGTGCCCCGCCTTCCTCATCAGGTACTCCTGGTCCGGAGGGCACTGGTAAAGCGACCCATAAGAGCCGCTCTACCGCCAAAACATCTAAACAGGTTGATAAACATGCTACCAGGAGGCACCAAGCCTTGGAAAAGGAGTTCTCCAAAGCACAGAAGAGAGCTAGGCTGGAGACCCAGGGGTCTGCGGAGTTAAACTTAGAATTGCCTCTAGGAGTTCCAGTGGGGATTGCTTTTCCCCCCCAGCACAGGGCGGAGTGGTCCAGGTTTCCCCGGCTCCACAACCCTCTACGTCCAGGTCAGCGCAGGGGGGTCCTGAGGCCACCTTTACACCTACTGCGGCGGGGCTCCGCCCAGCAGAACCAATTCCCTTCCTTTCAGAAGAGCGTTTGATGCTATTGATTAAACAAACAGTCGACCATGCCCTTGACGCTAGGGCCAGGACGGCTAGGCCAGCATCTTCACTTCCAACCCCTCTTTCCCAACCTGAGGTGGAGGCTCATTATGCCCCATCTTCTCCTTCTGGGTCTGTGGTTTCTGAGGACTCATACCTCAACCAACCTCCCCCTGGTCAGGAAATCGTAATGTCTGAGGAGGAGGACGTTCCTCCAGAGACTCCTACATTTACAGGCTTATTTAACCCTGCCTTTTTTGTCACCATCCTGCATAAGGCCACGTCTATGGCTTATCTAGGTCAGGGATCCTCATCAACAGAGGCTCCCTCTCTTCCAGATCCGGAGGCGGCTCCAGTTTACGTTGAACCTGTAGCAACACAGCACCGTGTTCCCTGTCCTTCCCTGTTTCTGACCGCAATCAAGAAGCAGTGGTCCTCTCCGGCGTCACTTCCCTTACCAGGTAACACAGACAAAAAACTGTATAATGTTGCCAAGGAACTGGAGGAAGCATTAGACATTCCGGAGGTGGACGAACCACTAGGGCCCCTGGTATCGGCCACAGCCATATCGGGTGAGTTTTCAGAGGCGCTTAAGGCTGAGGATCGTAAGTGCGAGTCCACCTACAAGAGAACGCACCAGGCGGCTGCCTGGGCGATCAGGACCGCAACTTCGGCCTCTTTTTTCACCAGGGCCGCCCTCACCTGGCTCCGGGAGCTCCAAGCCCGGGTTCCAGCGGAGGATGTCCGCACACATTTGGATCTCAGCAAAATGGTGGCAGCCACTGAATATGCATCAGACGCATCTTTGCAGGCCGCTAGATTTTCTTCCAGGGCTATGGCGTCCAACATCACTGGAAGACGTATGCTCTGGCTGAAAA